CACTGTCTTTTTTTATCTATCTATCGTTGGTCTCCATTGATGACTGATTCTTGTTTTATTGTTGTACGATTTGTTTGTTGTCGTATAACTAATTGTATAAGTTTCATCATCATTTATTGTATGGTTTGTACCATTAAATGAATAACATTGAACATTTTGTGTACATGAAAAAGCCGTCAAAATTATGAACGCAGCAATCGGAGCAAACGAAGCAATCGTAGAATGTAAAGAGCTTCTCTTTGATGTTTGTATAAGAGAAAAGATATATTAAATGTTTCTTCTCCTTCTCCATTTTATTCATTTTTTTTTGGAGATATTGTTTTTTATTAATTCTTATATATAACACATCAAAGGTAACAAAAACAATATATAGAAAGTATAGTGTTTGCGAGCAACGACTTATCAAATTTTCAATATATAGAAAAAAACTGAATAAAATGCAGAAGAAGAAACATTTAATATATCTTTTCTCTTATACAAGCATCAAAGAGAAGCTCTTTACATTCTACGATTGCTCCGTTCATAATTTTTACGGCTTTCCTTATCATTCATTATTCTTACTGTTATATAAGTACATAAAAAAAACAAAAGCCCATAACCATATAACCATAAAAATACATTTCCATCGATAAAAGATTATTTAAAAAAAACTATATATTTATAGGTAAGTCTGTATAACGGGTCGCATAAGCTACGTTTTTGCCATGTTATGGTGATTCTCGATACTTGTACATTGATGCAAAACAAAACCTACCCATAACCATCATTTATAAACTACCCACAGGTTATCATTCGTTATTCTTCAGAATAGATAGGAAGGTACAAAAAGTACAAAAAGAAAATGTGTTTTCTTACACTGTTTACATATACATAAGCACTTTTTGTCTTAAGAGACGTTGCATGACTCTGTCGAGCAACCGTCGGAAAGGCCATAACATGATAAAAAAGCTTTTATTTTATTCATAGCCTGTTCGATTCTTCGTACAAAGTAAGGTATGAACCTTGAATCTAAGTTTTAATCTTCATCTGACTTACGTTTCCAGAGAAAATAATTTTTCAATAAGAGTATCATCAAAATTTTGAAAAAATGCTCGTAGAGTAATATTGAGTTTCTTGTGAAATCAATTTTTATCGGATTATTTTATGTAACATCTCATTCGAAAGAGGAGAAAAGCTGAACAAGATATGCTATTTTGTTTCCGTAAAAGTTGAGAAATTGGTATGAAAAAAATGAAATATTGAATTCTAAAAACTTTTTCAAATTTTGTTTTTTCTAACTTTTCTTAAAACTCAACCCCTGTTAAGCGTAGGAAGCAAATGAAAATAGATGCATTTTATACAGCAAACAATTCTCTACAAATTGTACTGAAACATAATTTAAAAAAGGTGGTACAAAATGATTAAAACTGAGAAACAAGGCGCCGCTAGCCAGTTCCTGTTTCGGTAAATAATGGAGTTTTTTTTTTCCCCTAACGGAAAATATTTCCCGTTCAAGAAAGATGTATTTCCCGATTGAGAAATATGTCCTGATCGGGAAAGCGAAATCTATCCTATTCGGGAAATATTTCGACTTGTCTACGGTGAAACCCTGCACCGCTTCCGCGCATGTTCTGATTGGTTCCATCGGAAGGAGCACGAAAAACTGCATTGATGGACGTGGTGCCAGGTGAATTTGACGCGCTTCTAGCAGATCTGATATTATAGAAATGTGGAATAGAAGTAGGATCAAAATCTGACAAGAAATGACATTTTTGTCATATGTTAGAGTGGAGGAAAAGAAAGATGGAAGAAAGAAAAAGAAAAGACTAAGAAAAAGGAAGGATGCAGAATTATAAACATGTGTCATCGAGCTCTAGAGGCGTAAGGAATATCTACTGACTAGCCTTCAAGTGATTAATATATTGAATATAACTAGATCTAGTGTGTATACTTTTAAAATAAAAAATAAAATAAATTTTCTCAAGGTCGAAGATTTTCTTTCTAAATCATCGATACGATATGACTTTAAAATCAAATCAGGCTTCATGCGGTAATGCTGAGCATGTTTATTCGCATCGCACTACTACCTTCTTCCAGCTTCTACTTCATTTGATATTCCTGATTCTTACCAAATCACAGCTACTGGTGAAAAATTTGTGATTTGCGACACATTGGTTTGTCGTAAAAAAAAAATGTAATTTTTTGATAGTCCAAAAAAACTTGAATTATTATTTAACAGTTCTACTGTATTAATGGATGGCACCTTTTCAGCAGCACCACCATTTTTTGATCAAGTTTACACCATCCATGCTTTAAAATTTGAATGCAGTACGACATACATACTCTATTTCATAAGTATTAGAGTCTCTTTCCTCTTTTGCAGGTTTTCCTTGTGTGTTTGGCCTTTTACCTGATAGAAAGAAATCGACATATCAACAATTATTTCAAGAATTAAAAGATGTAACTGCATCCATGAATCAAATATGGAAACCTGAACGAATCATTACCGATTTTGAATCCCGCGATATCTGCTAAAGTAAACCCTACTGATCACCTTTACAAAAACATGTCTATTTTTCATTTTGGTTTCTTGAAACTTTACATAAAGGGTGTTATTTTCACCATAGTCAGCCCATATATCGGCGTATTCAAAATTTGGGTTTAAGTACGGCTTATTCTGAAGATGAAGAGATCAGAAGTTGTTGTCGTAAATTAATGGCATTAGCGCTTTTACCACTTCATGAAGTTGAAAGTTCTTACGTGCAACAGTAAATGCAAGGGTGAAGCGAGAACTTCGTCAATTATTCTTATATTATGATGATTATTGGATGAATAATGTACCATTAGAAATGTGGAATGTCCATGGTTGTCAACATCGAACAAATAATGCCTGTGAAGGTATGTACGTCCTTTCTGTTGCAACGTTATATTACGATCTACATATATAGGCTTCCATAACAGATTAAATCGACGTATGGAACGAGCACATGCAAACATCTGGTCATTCATTAGATGTATCGTGAGTGAAGAACGTCGATTTCAACATTCATACATTCAAATCAATACAGTTAAAAAAGTATGAACTTTTCTCTTCGTATTTTATTATATTAATAAAGTAATACAATTAACTAAACGTTTCGATATGTTAACATATCATCCTCAGTAGTTAAGAAACGAAATATTTTATAGATCCACAATCTAAAATTATAACTTAATCTTCGTATTTTATTATTTACTTTATTAATATGATAAAATACGAAGAGAAAAGTTCAAACTTTTTTAACTTAATTATCAAATTCGTAAACAATTGTAGCATTAATTTATGAATTCCACGTTCAACTTACGTTGTATGCTATTTAAAAAGAAACGGAAATACTTATATTCTCAAGCAAAATTATTTGAGCAAATGAAATTCTTGAAAAAATGTAAACATAATGACATAATCCCACATGGTTTTAGAATAAAATCTAGACAATTTGTAAGCAAAGGCAGTAAACGGATATGTGACGAAGCAAGTAAAAACTCATTAATAATGCAATTAGAAATAATTATTCGAAAATGTCACGCATTCAATTCGAATTAGACAACATTGATAACAAAATGAGAGCGATTAATACCAATGACCAATCTTTGCTACCAAAATGGTGCTACGAAATTCAAAACAATATTCCAACTTTTCGTTATAAACTCAAAAAGAAATTTTTTAACAAGTTTTCAAAATTAAAAAACGAACAGAACGATAACGAAAGAAAACTTATGGATACAAACGAGATGAACACGATGAATCTATCAAGTGATAAACAGGAAACTAATGTGAATTTGAACGAAAAAGTAGTCGACCTGACAACAAGGAAACTAACAAAAGACGAAATAGAAGTTTAGGACTTAATTTTATACCAACAGCAAAAGTAGACGTTTCTAAGTATGTTGCATATGTAATTTCTAGTATTGAATCTTCATTGTACAAAACGAACATCATACAAAAAGAAAAGATTGTAACGCAGGTTAGAAATACTATTGATCAATACTTGCCAAAAGCTGTGAAACAAAACAATGTTATGAATCTAAAACCAGAACAGTTGAAAGCAATGAAAAAGTTAAAAGAAGATAAAGAAGTCATAGTTGTAGCAGCATATAAGGGTGGTAAAGCAGTCGCGTTAGACGTTGAAGATTATAAGAAAAAAGTTAAGAATAAGTTAGATACAGACACATACCAAGTTTTAAGAAAAGATCCAAGTGCACACATATACAAAGAATTGAGTAAGTTAGTTACTAAACTAAAACAAAATTCATTAATTTCAAAACGTCAAGCCAAGACTTTCTTAAAACAAAAACGACTACCGATTGTTAGAGCGCAAGTCAAAGTTCACAAAGCAGGCTATCCTGTAAGGTTAATCGTAACAATGAGAGAAACGATAGGATCAGAATTAGCCAGATTCGTTACGCACAGTTTAAGTAAGATAAGTGAAAAAGCGAGATCGATCAAAAACATCGAAGATTTCGTTAATAGTTTAGATAAGATCACAGCAACAAATAGAACTACACTTGCTAGTTTAGATGTAGTAGCCTTTTTACATCAATCGATAAGAATAAGGCACTAGAAATATTAAAACAAGTTTTAGAAGATGATGACATCTGGATGGCCGATAGTAGTTTGACAAAAGAAAGTATACTTGAAATTGTCAGTTTTTGCATCAATAATGTAGTTTTTAGATTTGACGGCAAAATTTATAAGCAAAAAATGGGATTGCCAATCGGGAATTCACTATCTCCCCTCCTGGCAGATCTCGTTATGAATGATTTATTGTCAAAAATTCGGACAAAAATAAGTACCCGTACAATATGTTGAAACGTTATGTAGACGACATAATTCTAATTTCAGAATTAGATAAGGATCAAATTAATGATTTAGTAGCGTATCTAAATAAAATTGACAAGAATAATATTCAGTTCACGTCAGAATTTGAGAATGAGTCTAAGTTACCGTTTTTAGATGTATTAATTAAAGTAGACAAGGAGAATCATAAATTTAAGACAACGTGGTATCGAAAACCAACAGCAGCTAAATCATTACTAGATTTTAGGTCGGATCATAATGAAACCATTAAACAGAACATTGCTAGTAATATGCTCAATAAAATAATGATGATAAATAAAAATGAAACTAACAAATCAGACATCACAGCTCTTTGTCAATTATTGCTAAATAGTAGTTATCCTAACTCTACCACAAAAACTATAAAGAATAAAGTTAGAAACATTAGGAAAAACCACAACAGTAAGAACGAGGATAACGGGATATATACATCCACTGTAGTTATACCACACTTGAAAGGCATGACAGAAAAGCTTAGTTTCGTTGAGACACTGAATGAAATTTTTAATGCTTTTGAACTGTTTTCATACAACAGTAGAAAATAATCATATAACAAACTGAACTTATTGTGACTTTGCCTGATCTTATTTTGTATTTTTCGAGCTTTTTAGTCTTAACAATCAGCAACAATAATGAAATACAACTAATACATAGCTTTACTTTGACTATTTGCTGCAATACTTTATGCTAAAAATACTTAGGGCATACCAAAAGTAGTGGCGCCGATCCATAATATTTTACAGAAGGCTTATGAAAATTTTTTTTCTATATATTCCGATAGCCCAAGTCGTGCTCTCTAATTCTACAATATCGCCTCATTCGTCTGGTGATATCATAATAATAAAATTTCGATTTGCTAAGGTTTGCTCTTGACTTTTATTTCTTTTCTTCTTGAGAATACACAATAACTACTTAAGTAATTCCGTTATTTTTTATCCGCTCTGGTCGAGCAATGTCCCATTCGAAAGATCATCAAAAACTAAACAAAACCATGTACCTTCGCTTTTTCTAAACTCAATACTGATTTTGTAAGAGGGTTCATCAAGTGAAGGATTATGATTTTCACATACAAATTGTTTCTATCAAAACCCACTTTTGGGCATCCAAACAGGATTTCCCTAGAAATATGAAGGTAACATTAGATAGAAAATTCAATTTTCTACAAACTGAGCCAAAAAGCTTTGTAGACGACATATATTTCTTTATGTTTATCTATTTATTTTAATCAATACTACACAGAAACAAAAAAATAGCAATTAATCAACAAAATTGAGACAATACACTTTTTGTATGTAACAGAAAACGATGAATATATTAACGTTCGCGAATGATCTCGACGTTTTCATACAATGCTAAGGCCGTCTAAAAGAACAGCAAATCAGGAAATCTAATAAACCTTCGAGTTGTAGAACAATAGAGTGGAACCAATCACGGACACGAGGATTCGCGAGAGTTTAAATAAAGTCATCCCCAAAAGCAAAACACGATTTAAATCGATTTTTATTAAAACGGAAAAATCACATAAGTTTCTTAAATAAAAATTCGTTCGAGAATATACCGGGTTAGCGCTATGACACTTCTTTGAGTACATTTTAGCATAGGTGAAACAGGATTTGTTCTCACCTTTTATATTTCTACCACTGTTCTGACGATTTCTTTAGCATAATTATTTAACGAACTAATTCGTCAGATTCTATCTTTAAACTTAGCGTATTAAATTTGGAAACTCGTTGGCAACAGTAGTTCTTGTAATATGTCACGATGTATTGAATGTTTTTACACGATGAAGAACTGATTTGCTTTAAACAATCAATTGATATACGTTAGAAAAGATCTCTCACATTATGAAAACTCATGAAACGTTCTAGAAGACCATATCAAAATCTGTCTCCTCATCATCAGTAATTCCATATAACACTTACTAAGTCTCACTTACCTTTCATTGCTAGTATTTGAGTTGTATATTTAAAATGTTCTTTTAATTTTTCACTTCGATCTAATTCTTGTAAAGCAGTTAACGTTCCATTGATCAGTTTCAAATCGAACAAAGCTCTAATAACACGTTGTAAACGAGCTATATCCTCTGCCATTCTATACAACTATAAGTAGAAGTAAAACGGCATTAAAATGAGTTCTCTAACTAGAAAAATAAAATTGGAGATAGATTTTTATTAGAGCTTTCAGAAACCGCTGTTTTTCGAGCAGAACTTCATGTTTTTTCCTGCAGGAACCGATGTTTCTCCACAACAACTTCATGTTTTTTCGTGAAGAAACAGGTGTTTCTCCAGAACAACTTTATGTTTTTTTTCTGCAGAGAGCGTTGTTTCTCCGCAAGCACATTATGTTTTTTCGTGAAGAAACTGATGTTTCCTCACAACAACTACAGGTTTTTTCGTCAAGAAACCGATTCTTCTCCAGCAGAACTTCATGTGTTTTCGTGAAGAAACCGATGTTTCTCCGGAATCGCTTGATGTTTTTTCGTCGAGAAACCGATGTTTCTCCAGCAAAACCTGATGATTTCTCGGGAAGAAACAGATGTTTCCCCACAACAACTTCAGGTTTTTTCGTCAAGAAACCGACGGTTCGCGAGCAGAACTTTCATGTATCTGTTTCCTCTTTCGATTGTTTTGAAATTGGCCTGCGGAAGGTCAAAGTCGAAGCTGCCAAACGCGAACTGATTTTCGCCATTGTGCACGTGACTTTTACTTGTTGTATGTTTATGAACTCGGTCAAAAACACTTCCAAAATTCTCAAAGCTAGTTTTTGATAGGTTTTTCGATGTCCTCTACAACGATCAGAACATTTCTTTTGACTCCGGAAACCTGGTTTTGCAGAAAACGGTGTCTAGAAGCATCATAAGCCCGTATCATGTTGATATTCGGATTCAGCGGTGTCGATTACAATCGATTACTATCTTATTAATTAGTTATAAATTAATATTTGGTGTTAACCGACTACATTCCAGGTCAAAAACGATTTATCACTTGCATATGTTCCCTCGTGAGTTAGAGAGCTTTTTTGCACGTTTGGACATCCTGGGCAGGAAAACAAAGCATTCACAACTTTTCTAAGATGAACTTTTGACATGTCTCAAACCGACTCTTTAGAGTAGCGTTCTCAGTAATGAGTTAGTTCTCGAACTCACAGCACATGTCCCATTACTAGCATAACTTGTCTGATGCTGCCCTGCTCTATGAGAAATAAGACACATGAGCACACTTCAGCAAAAGAAGAGAAAAATCACACTACAGAAAAAGGATAAAAAATAAGTAGACAAATAAAACATAAAGAAATAAAAGAAAAAATTCGTGAGTCCTTCGCTATGCGTGAGAATTCTTCTGAGTTTAATGGCACTGATCTATCGCTCCAGCCAAGGGATAGGTAATCTTGAACACAACCAAATATGTAGTATAGAAGGCAAGCCACTGATTGAAGTATCAATCGTAAGGAAAGCTCTAGCTCAGGATAGGGATAGGTTGAGCTAGAGCTTTCCTACTGCATATTTGGTTGTGTTCAAGATTAAGTTGGATAAGAGTGTTATTCACGTTTAATGCTTCAGCCAGTGCTTTGCCTCCTTAATCAGATAGCTGGTTACGGCGGAGATTAAGTTCAGTGAGGGCGTTGTTCACTTTCAGTGCTCCAGCCAGTGCTTCGCCTCCTCGAGCACGTATCCGGTTGCATTCAAGATTAAGTTCAGTGAGGGTCTCATTAAGTTTTAATGCTTCCGCCAGTGCTTCGCATCCTGGAGTAGATATTCGGTTCTATGCAAGATTCAGTTGAGTAAGAGTATTGTTCACCTTTAATCGTTCAGCCAGTGCTTCGCCTCCTCGAGTAGATTTTACCCCTGGTGTTAATTGTACTTATATATGATTGCAAAGTGTTTACACATAACTGGTCATACATACAGGCTAAATTGGATTGTAATAAGGCTTCGAGAACGTAACAGCCTACTAATAGGCC